ACGTTCGAAGGCTTCGCGTGAGAAATACCACGGCCTGCTAAAGCCGCTACCCGTACCCGAACGACGTTGGGCAGACGTCTCTGTCGACTTCGTCGTTGACCTGCCAGAATCCGAAGGATACAAGAACATTATGGTCGTCGTAGACCGCCTGTCTAAGTACCGATACATGATCCCCTGCGATAAGATAGAGGCTTCTGACGTAGCACGTATGTTCCTGCGCTACGTCTGGTGTAATCACGGCCTCCCGGATACGATAGTCTCGGACCGTGGCAGACAATTCGTATCTGCTTTCCATGACGAGCTGTGCGCTCAACTGAGGATAGACCCGCGCTTCTCAACCGGCTACCACCCTGAGACAGATGGACAAACGGAGAACGCTAACGCTGCGATGGAACAAGTCCTACGTGCGTATACGAACTATCAACAAGACGACTGGGCTCAATGGCTCCCCACCGCTCAGTTCGAAGCTAATAATACCGTCTCCGAGTCTACTAGAGTAACCCCGATGATGGCCTGCTACGGTCAGAACCCACGAATGGGCTTTGAACCGCCTACTAATAAGAAACGACCCGCATATCAAGCTCTACAAGCTAGCGAGGTTGACAAAATGATCGACAAGATGCGCGATGTTACAGAATTCATCCGCGAAGAATTAACCTGGGCTCAAGCCCTACAACAAGAATACGCGAACCGAAAGCGCTTGCCTGCACCAGCATATCAGATTGGTGACGAAGTATGGCTAGACGCGCGGAACATCCGAACGCAACGAGCATCTAAGAAGCTTGATTGGAAGAATCTTAGCCCGTACAGAGTAGCTAAGAAGATCTCTTCCCACGCGTACCGTCTCGAACTACCCGATTCCATAAAGATACACCCAGTATTTCATGTGTCCTTACTCCAGCCTGCTGCGCCAAGACAGGAGTACCTGCCAGGACAACTTGTTCTACCGCCCGAACCTGTTGTTGTAGACAACGAAGAAGAATACTTTGTAGAAAGTATCGAAGACCTCCGCTACAACAAGCGTCGTAGGCAACATGAATACTACGTCAAATAGACAGGCTATGATAAGATGACCTAGGAACCTGCTGCAGACCTAAAGGATAACGCAGCCGTAGCTGGGTTCCATAAGAGGTTTCCTGACATGTCGGAGCCACCTGAAGTGATGCAAGACAACTAGACTGCTACACTATATAACGTGATCTCTACTCGCAGGAGCTCGAGAGTAAGAGGGGGGTACTGTCACGGTAACTACCGTGGCTAACGTGACACCTAAAATCTGTTAATTAGCTAGCTAAGGCCTAAGCGCCGCGCACAGCTCTTAGCTATATCTTTTTACTGCCTTTGCATTTTGCTCTGCTCCTTACGCAATGTCTTATACTACACTAGATACTGTACGTAGCTACAATTAACGCTTCTTATAAGCTCTTAACACGTGCTCGTAGCGTCTTGTGACAGGTTAACTTTAGGCTCTAGAGCGTTAGCAACATAAATGTAGTTACTGTTTAGAAGCAGCCTTTAAGAGAGACGAAGTATTAAAATCTACAATAAGTAATAGCGGTTAACCGATACAAAAAGCTACTAATACACTCTAACCCAGATTCTCACAGCGCTCTGAATGTCCTATCGGTCGGAGGATAGCCTTTAGCTTGCGACTCGAGAAGATTTGATATTACCTTAGCTATCCTCGAGATAGAGGACCCATTTTCTATAATCCGCGACGCTTCTTTATATAAACGCGCTATGCTGCCGCTATTGTGTAGGAAACCGACCCCAAGAACGTGAGGTCTTTTATGATTCCTGGCCTGTAACCAGTCGTTCAAAAGATCTATATCAACGACTTGGTCGAGTCGAATGATGTCCATGCTCGACGTTTTGATGCCAGCCCCACGTCCGGCGACATTGGGATCTTGCTGCTCGATAGTATCTACGTACAGTACTATATAGAGCACACAGACTAAACTGCCCATAATGTCAAGTACTGTTGCTGGTCTGGTGGTGCGAAAGTGTTGAAGGACCTGCGCTGCGTAGTACAAGCAGTGCCTTGCTCTGCTGACATTCTGTGGTACAATGTTTAAAAGTTGAGATCGGGCGTTGCTTTGGCCTATGTCTGTCGTCTGCCATTTAGTATAAGAAAAGAGTAGCGATAATGGCGTAAATGAGAGAATGGCAAGAACTCGAGAAAGCAAAGCAAAGTAATTCGAGCTGGTGCCAGCATCCGTTTCGCGCAACACCTGAGAGCATCCTACTTGTGACAAAGCATCGAAGGCTTTCTGAGAGAGCGTTGTCACCATGCCCAGAGCTGGACTCGGTTGACTAGCAGTAGTGCCAGTAGAGCCAAGTCCCATAGCTAGAAGGAAGTCGCTCTCAGCAGCTTTGTGCAATGAGGCCGAAAACAGGATCGCAGACTTGGTCAGTTGCTCCAGACTCGCCGGCGCTACATCGCCGAGACCAATACGTGCAAGTAGAGCACAAAGAGTTGGTGAAGGTTGCGGTGGCGGGAGAAGGTGCCACTGCTCGCAACTCGATGACCAATACGAATCAGCGGTGGGTACCGGGGTTTGCAGCTCAGGAGTTGAGAGCAGAGGAGGAAGCATAAGAAATGTTGCGTAGAGACACTCGGAAACTCCTTTTGTAAGCTAAAAGCCGAGAGAGGGTTGAGTAAGGATCCAATGACTTACTATAGGTAAAGTGGACGATCCGCCGTTTGGCTTCTGCTTGTATCCATTGGAACCATGTGTGGTTCCCGTCTTCCGTGGATGCAGGCGTGTGCATCAAGGTGGCCTCTCGAGACAGCAACAGGCGACAAAGGGTAATGAGGATATTCCGGTAAAACTGCAACTCAACTGTAATGCTCCACTCGCCCGAGAGCCAAAGATTTTGCTGGAACAACAAGTGGGATTGCGCACAGGTCAAGATGTTAACACTCGATAGCTCTCGAAGCTACAATGTATTGGATATCGCATCAGCATCAGCTCAACATAATGTATTGGCTCGGGGGTGGGCCTTACATCTCTTTTCACCATATACTGGGCAAGTCGCTGCAGGAGTAGAACATGATCATGATGGTGGTGTGCTTGGGAGTACCGACTGCCGAGACACACCACACTGAGAACCAGCTGCCACGTCTCGGGTGACGCCTGAAAAGTCGGAACGTGCAACAAAGGCATCAGTGGATGAAAGTGCTCAAAATACAATTGCATGTATGTATCGAGATGTCGCAAAGAGGGGAAGTTGGCGTCAAGCCCTTGGGCCTCATGATGTGGCAGTCCGGCTTTGATGGCTTGGATCATGTATGCTCGAGTCTCTTCGGTCACAGGAGGTACATGAGGAATGTTCTCCGCGATCAGGACGTCTTCTTCTTCCGCTGTCAGATTGTCCTGTCCAATAAAGACCTCAACGGCCTCCACAGCTCCTCCCTGTGTTGCTTCTGCACCGAAGCTATTCTGCACACTCTGGTCATCTGCAAGTTGACCAGCGGCAGCCAAAGCGGCGTCTCCGAAGCAAAAGTCGGCCAATGTCCCAGCTTCAAGAGGGGGCACTGGCGAGAACGGGAGCAGGAATTGAGTAGAGGTCAAGAGGGCGTCCCATGTAAGGTCTGGCTCGAGACTAGGTTGGACCGGAACACAAGACATCGGAGTCAAAGGCTGCAATTGCTGAGAAGGCGAAGAGTAGATAGCGGATACGCCATCATCGGCTACAGGCTGTGCAACGAGGATAGTCTCAGTGTCGTCGTTGCCAGGATTTGGTTGGTATAAGCAGCGACGACCTTTGTTCGTACACTTGGTACAAGGTGCCGGCCTGCGGCCATCGCAGCGTTGCTTAGCTCTGGCGCAGGCTTCGCACGCACGATATTGTTGACCTCGCGAGAAACGAGAATTGTTTTGCGTCCATTCAGCGAGGGCTGCAGTGCCATGTGTGCCGACATGGCGTTTCAAAGTGTCCCTTTCTCCCCCGGAAAGTCAGCCACAAACGTTATACAAGACACATTGCATACAGGCTAGGCTCTTCAAGGTAGGGAGAATGCATACCTCCGAGAGAAGGCTGTCTTACAGAGATGGCATGTGTAAGAGCGACGGCCGGAGTGACAGTCTAGATGTCGAATTACGTGCTCGCGCCGATGGAAGGTCTGCCCGCACTCGGGGCACGTTAACGATGCGGACGACGAGGAGGCGGGGGAGGAGCCGCATTGGGGGCCAGTGCCGTCACTGACACCGTCGACAGGGCTATGGTTATCGTTATCGGCATTACAGCCTTCGTCAGCAACAGCGGAGGCATCTGATTGCATGTTGAAGGATATGCTGAAGTGTGAAATTACTGTGTGTCGGTAGAGAAATATGGAAAAAGACCGCCCGGTTGCAAGAGCCTCATGGCACTGCCTTTCGGATGCTGCATTCTGCGCGATTCGACCAAGGTACTTATACCAGGCCGCAGAGGCAGGTTTAGAGTGCAGCAGTCATAAGCACCTTGCTCGGAGCTTCGGGAGACAAGTGGGGCATTAATACGTAGCCCTTTGTTTTCTTTTTTTTTAATTGGTTCGTAATCTCCAAGCGGTGTAGGTTGCTCCACCATGGATATGGGGAAGTGTGGAGGCCGAGTCAGAGAGTGTGGAGGCGGGGTCCCGAGATGCCTCGGCCGCTCCCCACAATATTACCATTACGTACCATTTACCCAAGTTTAAAGCGCCGAGCCGCGTTATTCCCGATATGACAGTTGGCCTACAGAAAATAATAAAAACCAAGCAGTATACCACGAAACCTAGGCTTACAGAGATGCACGTCTAGCTTTAATAGGACAGCGTCTAGCTAGAGAGGAATAAGGCCTGCGCCGCGGAAAGCTGAGCAGATATTGGCTAGCGTGAACGCTCAATCAAACGCTGCCTTAAAGGCTGGCAGGAACTCAAGCTCAGGTCATCGGCGTCTCGTGATGGTTCTAGCCAATGCAAGAGCTAGGTATGGTCTCAATAGTTCTGGCCCTCGGACGCTCCCGGTACCTCAATCCCGATGCTCATGCCGGGATTTCGGATGGAAGCAGCAGTACGTGGAGATAGTGGTCCCCCCGACTTCGCGATTGCGGGGGGTCCGGGTGGCTGTAGCAAAGAAGCCCGCCCGCGACCAGTGACCAGCGCAGGGCAAACACAATGAACTACTAATAGAAGAAATGCCTCCCTCAAAGTCGGGGAAAATTCCTTAAAAAAATTAAAAGAAAAAGAAAACCCGATCTGCATACCGAAAGGCCAAGGGATCCGTTCAATATGGGATCTATCGCCGCGCCAAACGCCAAAGAGCAGGCTAGCTGCTGGGTGCCCTTTAATGATCAGCCATTGCACCATCCCCGGCGGCTCAAGGTCGCTTGCATTGGTGCCGGATTTTCTGGCCTTCTTTTCGCGTATAAGTGCAAGTTCGATAAGCAACTTGCCCCCTGCGTCGATTTGAGAATTTATGAGAAGAATGCCGACGTGGGAGGCACCTGGCTCGTCAATCGATACCCTGGTGTTGCATGCGATGTAAACAAAAAGGCCCAAGTTTCTCCTCTCTTGCGATATGCACAATTGTTACATGACTAAATAATGGCTTGTGGGTTGTCTAGGTCCCAGCTCATATTTACGCATTCCCCTTCAAACCGAATCCTAACTGGAGCTCCTTCTACGCTGGCGGCGCTGAGATTCTCCAGTACATCAAGGACACCACAAAGAGGTACGGTTTAGCCGACAATATCCAGTTCAAGGCCGAACTGACTTCAGCCGTCTGGGATGATGCGAATGGCAAATACCATTTCAAGCTGGTCAAGGACGGCGGCAGAACAACGGAGGAGGACGTTGATGTTCTGATCAATGGCACCGGATTCCTAAGCAAGTGATCGTGGCCGAAAATTCCCGGCCTGGAGACCTTTAAAGGCAAGTTGGTCCACACGGCCGACTGGGACGAATCTATTGAATGGAAAGGGAAGAATGTAGCGGTCATTGGCAACGGCTCCTCAGGCATCCAGGTGGTTCCCGAGTTGCAGCCTGCCGCTGCCAAGCTTGTCAACTACATTCGAGGGCCGACGTGGATCTCGCCAAATATGGCTGCCGAGTTTACCCCCGACGGCAAAAACTTTGCGTTTTCAGAAGAGGAGAGGAAGAAGTTCAATGAGAGCCCGGAGGAGCTTCGGAAGCTGGGCAAGGACATCACTCACGGCTTCAATAAACTCTTCCAAATGCTGCTGGACGGTAGCGAAGCGAACAATGCCGCCCAAAAGGTGTTCAGAGAGCAGATGGAGGAGCGTCTGGGGAGAGACCCTGAGCTCTGCGCGAAGCTCATCCCTACCTACAAGGCTGGATGCCGACGCTTGTCGCCGGGCGAGGGTTATCTCGAAGCTCTCCAGGAGCCCAATGCGAGGATCGAATTCGGTCAAATCAAGGAAATCACAGCGACAGGCATTACCACCACAGACTCGAGCGATGACTTTGACATCATCGTCTGTGCTACCGGCTTCAACACCAGCTTCATTCCGCCGTGGCACATGGTAGGCAAAGGCGGCGCGGTGCTTTCCAAGCAGTGGGAAGACCATCCAGAAGCATACATCGGAGCCTGCGTGTCGAATTTCCCCAATTTCTTCATCTTCACCGGCCCTAACAGCCCGGTCGCGCATGGAAGCCTGATTTCGGTTATGGACTGGACGGCCAACTACATCGGGCAGTGGTGCAAGAAGATTGCCATGGTTGATATCCGGTAAGTTTCTTTCTCTCTCTCTCTCTCTCTCACACACACACACACACACACACACATACACACACACCTTTGTTATGGAAAGCTTTAGAAGTTAGGTTCGAGACTGACACTTTCCGGTCTTGTCTAGGTCCGCTACCGTCAAGCAAGAGGCGTCTGCAGAGTACAATGAATACACGCAAGGGGTCCTGAAGCGTACTGTATGGACATCGGGCTGCCGATCATGGTTCAAGAATGGCACCGTGGACGGCCGCGTGTTTGCCATGTACGGCGGGAGTGTTCTACACTACAAGGCGTTGACGGAGAGCTTCAGGACGGAGGACTTTGAGCTTGAATACTGCAGCAAAGATCGGTTCCGGATCATGGGCAACGGCCTCACTTCTCGCGAGGTGAATCAAGAGGACCTGGCATTTTACGTCGATAAGTAATTAAGAGAGCAAGCAAACTTGATACATATTTAAAGAAGCCTATCTATCTGTACGCTGTATTTGTCTATCTGTCTGTCTGTCTGCCAAAGACACGCAGAGACTGGTCCGCATCTTCTCATTTCTCTCAATCAATTCCATCTATCACAGAACAAGCCAAGCGGCTGGCTGGCTTCGTAGTTAGTTAGTGTCGTAGGCTGCCTCGACCAACCAACCCGCCTTAGTTAGTTGCGTTTGTAAACACAACCCGACTCCATGTGGTGGTGGTGGTGGAGGAGGAGGAGGAGGAGGAGGAGGAGGAGGCGGGAAATGCTGCTGCGGGGTGGGG